GAGACAGAGAGAGAGAGAGAGAGAGAGAGAGAGAGACAAACAGACAGGCAGAGAGAGAGAGAGAAATAACATCAAACACCCTGCATTATAATAATATAATAGGAATGTCCGCCTATTTGCCATCAATAATTCTAATTACTTGTACCTGTAAATATACAGACTTCAACAAAAGTTAAGGACCACCTTGACAGACAGCCCTGATTTTTTTTTACCCCCCCCCCAAAAAAAAAAGAGAGCAAGGAATGTTCTAAAATAATTGTTTGCTCTAAAAGTGTTAATGGGTTAACAATGCGTACTGCAAAACTTCCTGAAGGGGCAAAACGACCAAGTGCAGCACGGAAATCCTCGGGGAATTTTAGCCAAATTTTGCTGTTTTTTAACGACTTGTGTGCGACACCACAGACATTTTTCAGTTAAAATTTCTGCACGTGATAAACAGACCTATGGTCTCGAACTGTGCTCACTTTGGTGGCAATATAAGCCGCCGTTTACGCAAAATCCAGTATCGCATCAACATGCCACCAAGACGACGGCTGAGAGACCTTGGTCGTGCCAGGGCTATGGCATGGCTGCTGGATGGAGTTGGAGCCCGAGAAGTTGCCAGAAGGCTTGCAGTGTCACACTCTGTCATTGTCCACCTGAGGTAGCGCCATCAAGCTACTGGATCAGTCCAAGAACACCCACGTGTAGGTCGATCCAAGAAGACAACTCAGAGAGAGGGCCGATATGTCCGCATGCAGGCCTTGCGACAGAGGACAACGACAGCCAACAGCATCAGGCATCGTCTGCGTGCTGCTAGGCTACCAACACGGAAGTGAACTCCCAAACCATTCGACGGCGTCTGCATGCTGCCAATATCCGTACCAGGGGTCCAATCAAGAAACCAAGGCTGACCGCAAGACACCAGGCAAGTCGTCTTGCTTGGTGCATGGCACATGAACCAAGGACACGTCCCCAATGTGGCCATGTTTTGTTCACAGATGAGTCACGATTCATGTTGAACCCAAAAGATGGACGTGTACATGTGTGGCGCGTCCATATCTGGCAAGCAGGGATCTCAAGAATGCCATGGCCAGCAAACAGTCCCGACTTCAACCACATTAAGAATGTGTGGGGTGAACTTGGCTGGAGAGCCCAGCAGCACCAGCCACCACCAGCTACAGATCATGCAGCAGGAGTGGGCAAACCTTCTTCAGGCCTTCATTGCTACCACCATCAACACCATGAGGAGACGCTGCCTTGATTACATTGCTCGGCGTGGTGGGTACACCCGTTTTTGAACGGACTGTCACGGACACTAGCTCCTGGGTTTTTCTTTTGAGGGGTATTGTTGTTCCGATTGGTCCTTAACTTATGTTGAAGTCTGTAGGGCGTGCGTCTACAATGTCTTAAGGCACCTTGCCGTGGCGCTCAAAAGCTTTGATCGAGTTTGTTTTCTACGAGGGGAGATACTTTATCGAGTATCTTTGTCTGACTGCTGAAATACTGTATCTCGTTCTGCCAAGGTTGGCCTTAAAAAGGCAGGGGAGAAGAGCACTGTCTCTTAAATTACCTAATTTACAAAACATGAGTCCTGTAGTCAGAGACGTAGACCTTTTGTAAGAGATACGTGACGTAGAACGAGGGGTAAAAGTAAAGTACCCCCCCTCTCTCTCTCTCTCTCTCTCTCTCTCTCTCTCTCTCTCTCTCTCTCTCTCTCTCTTTCTTTCTCTCTCTCTCTCTCTTTCTTTCTCTCTCTCTCTCTCTCTCTCTCTCTCTCTCTCTCTCTCTCTCTCTCTCTCTCTCTCCAGTTTGAAATGCTAAGTCATCGTGGCGGTCACTATGGGTTTTAACTAAGAAAGGAATTCCGGATTAGCGGGTTGCCATTGTTATGATGCGCTATGGCTTGAGGGGGTGGGTGGGGAGTTGGGGGGGGGGCTGGGATGGGAGGGGGTAGACACTTGATGCCTAACAACTTGGATCAAGGTTATGTGAAGTGTGGTGAGCTTTAAATTGTACTTGAGCAACGGCAAACTTTGCAGGGAATTTCATTGAAATGTGTGGAAAGTTTTACGAAATACGTCGGAGGGGAGCATACCATTGAACCATTACACACAACTTTCATTGTAACTTCGCGTTTGTAGTGGATGATGCCATGCTATTTCTGGACACGTCCGTTAAATTTTCATTTTTCCGCTCAAAGACTCAAAGAACGTTTTGTTAGAGTTAATTTCTCCAATGCCACGCTCACATGTTTCTGTTTCGGAGCCCACCCGCCGTCGTATTTTACTATAGGCTAAAATGTGTCGTATTTGGAAGAAAAGGCGGAGGGGGTAAGACATAGTGGGGGTTTTGTTGTAGTTATTGTTGTTGTTTTGTTTTGGGTTGGGGGGGAGGGTATGCAGTAGATTGGACGGGGGAGGGGCAGGGGAAGGAAAGAAGGTTTAAATAAGATAAGATAAAATAATATGATAATATTAAATTGTTTGTCCCAGCGGGGAATTTTTCTTAGCTGAACAGGAGCCGTAAAACACATGTAGGTATACATAGAAGTTAAATTATGCATTACTCTCACTAAAATTCAATATGAAGAGAAAAGTAAAGCTGACAATAATGCTCATATTATGGCAACAGATGCATCTTTTAACCCTAAGCGGAAATTCAACACAGACTTTTGTTGTTTTTGTTTTGTTTTTGTAAAGTGTTTTACGGCGCTCGCAACTGCTTAAGGTCATATGAGCGCGCGGGACACACCTAATAATAATTTTCAGTTGGTAGGAAATTTTGAATTTTGCCCGGGTGGCGGCCGAAGCCTACTCTTATCGATTTTAGACCACCAAGGGATCTTTAACGTACGCAACTTGCACCCGGGCCCTCCGAGATTTTTCGCCCTTGTCCGAGAAGGCTAGGTGTAGATCTTTCCTACCAGAAGATCAGGGGTGTGGCAGAAAGACAGCAGTAAGGAGGAGCCAAGGAGTAGCAGTAGAAAGGCTGCAGAAAGAGTCAGGAGCCCAGATGAGGGGGCAAAGGAGGTGAGGGGGTGGGAGCAGAAAGTGGAAATGAAAGCAGACAACAGAACATTGCTAGAGAGAAGGAAAGGAGGTGAAAGGAGACAATTTTAAAGAAAAACATTTTTTGGTCGCTACCCGGATTCGAACTCGGGACCTTTGAATGAGAGGCCAACACCTTAGCCTGTAGGCCACGAGAGCCCCCTACAGACTTTTGGAGTCAATAGATACATGTATGTATTCGAAACGGCAATGCACATTGATGTTTATTCCGACAGTAGCCTTCTTTTGTTCTTAGTCGTACGTATGTGCCGCTGCGTGATTTTACAATTTGTGGGGAAAGGGGGTGTAATGGGTCGTTTGAAATGCTCTTCATATGTTTTATACTTGTGATCTTATATATTTCATAGTTTTAATATACATGTAGTTCTATTAAATCATATCCAGTGATTTTACTGGCTTCTTCTTTGCCTTGCACCCTACAGTTTCCAGCTCAGCAGCAAATACAAAATAGTAATACGCTTACGATCATGGAATGGTAAAAAAGAGATATAATCTTATCGTCTGCATCTAAGAGGTTGATCTACATTAAAAATTCTTAGTTTCCTTAAAAGGAACATTCTTTGGTTTATCTTTTCTTCTTTTTTTTATTTTTGCACAAGAGCAGCGTGGGAATGCCAGTCAAGCTTGTTGTCAATGGTTATTCCGAGATATTTGTTGGAGTTTACAGCCTCCGCTTCCTCTTCTTTAATTAATTAAATGGTTGCAGTCGGTCTTTTTAAACTCTAAAGTATTAATTTCTTTGTCTTTTTTACTTTCAGTAAATAGAAGAGATTATCACACCAATTTGTAAATTGTAATACATTTACAGAGTCCCTGTATTCATTCTCATTTGTTTTTATAAGGCCTTGGGGAGTGGAATCATTCACAAATAATGTTATTAGTTTGATTGAGTGGGGGAGGGGTGTTAAATAAATTACAGTCGTTGGTGAAGAGTGTAGAGCGTAAACAAGACAGGGAAGATTAAACGACCTTGGGGTGCACCGGTGTGCGTGAATATTAGGTCGGATTTTACACAATTTAATTTTACAAATTGAAAGCGATTGGTCAAGAACTCAAGAATCCAGAGTTGGAGGATGTCGGGGGCGGCAATGCACCACGTTGTCAACAGCTGACATGTTTGCTTGTTTTTCTTTTCAAGCCACAAAAATAATGATAATATGTTATGACTCTTCATATCTGTAGTTCTATACTCGCCTAAATATTAAGGAAACATTCAGAAATACAGACTTCTGGTTTGACTTACGGTATTGACATCTTGTCCCGAAATATCCGTCCTGACATTGGTTGTTGGAACATGTGCCGTCCTCTCCGCATCGCCACGCCTGCTGGTCTCTGCAGTGGCACGTGTACTCACACTGGGGGCCAAACTTGCCGGTACTGTCTGTGTTACAGCTGCCCTCTGTAGAACGAAGGGGGTACTTTACTATACCGAATAGTGGGGTCTAGTTGTTGTTGTTGTTGTTGTTGTTGTTGTTGTTGTTGTTGTTGTTGTTTGTCTTGTTGATAATGTTGACGTTCTCTTGGTTTTAATTATTGCTGTAGTTGGGTTTTTTGTGGTATTTGTTTTCGTTGTTGTTATGGTTGTTGTTGCTGTAGCTGTCGTTGTCGTTGTTGTTGTTGTTGTCGTTGTTGTCGTTGTTGTTGTTGTTGTTGTTGTTGTTGTTGTTGTTGTTGTTGTTGTTGTTGTTGTCGTTGCTGTAGCTCTTCTTGTTTCTCTCTGTTGGTTTGTTGTAGCACAAATAACACAATCACGATATTTGTCCAGGTACCTATGTAATCGCCCCTCCTTCTCATTTTCTCTTTCTCTTTCTCTTTGTCTCTCTCTCTTTCTCTCTCTCTCTCTCTCTCTCTCTCTCTCTCTCTCTCTCTCTCTCTCTCTCTCTGGGTGGTTGGCGAGTGCTCTGGTGTGGTTTGCTCCTTCTTTCCTCTTAAACATCTATCGTCCTTATCTCTCCTTCTTTTTTACGTTTGTTGTTATTCTCTAGTAACACCTCTAATCTTCGGCACTTATATGATCTTATTGTGTTGCAAGTGCCGTAAAACTCTTTACTAAAACTAAACTAAAAAATCTCTCTCTCTCTCTCTCTCTCTT